AAGATTTCCTTCTGCAGACTGTAAGTGGTCTAAAAACTGAGTTAATTATATGTACACACATAAACAGCATTCAACCAAATCAATCTCCCAGCCTGGTCCCAATCTATGCTTTACCAGTATTTTCAGGCACCTTATATTCAAATTCATGTCAAAGCTAATCACTACATCCAGGTCAGTTCAATAAACACTTATTAAAGATCCTAGAAGTGTCAGGCTCTATGCCAGAAAGTATGCTGACAGCTGAGGATACAGCAGTGAATTAAGACAATGAATAAGCAATGAATAAGACCTGGTCTCTGACTTCTAGGAACTCCTCATTAACCTCATATGAAAAATTACTTATTCCAGAGCCCACACCAAGTATCTCTGGCGTGCACTAATTATGACATAGCCTTTGTTTCCTATAAAACAAAACCTTCATATACTTTTTCTACTAATTCATAATATGCTACAGGTATGATGACATTTTCCAAAACAATTTCTTTTGCTTGAGCTGAAGATAATAAAAGACTAAAGATTATTACATAACATACCATATGCAGGTGTACAAAGAAGATCCTCAATAACATAAACCATTATTATTCTCTTGTCCTATTTTCTGCCTGCAAACAAGATCTGATATATAGGGAAAAGTAGGCAGAATAGGTTTTCAAGCTTCTGCACAAGCCTACACTTTTTAGGTTGGAGGAAAGAGAAAGAACGTTTTGAGAAAAAGCAAGTGGAAATTAGTGGTTTAAAAAAAGTTAAGAATGCAGTGGAGTGTATAGAGGCAGTTCTCCAGTTTCCACCTTATTACTGTCAGGTCCAATGGTGGCATAGGAGGTATCTTGGTAACACTCACCTCTGTTAACAAATGACCTCTCTTAATAGAATACTGAACATGACAATGTCTACCAACAAAAGGGAATCAAATATATTTATACCATGACAATTTCCAAAGATAAGATGTACAATAAATAACTACAAGGTGGTAGTCTGGTAAGAAAGATAATTTCCAGGCAGTCCAGAGAACGAGGGCTAACAGGAACTGGTCAACAGAGGACATTCTGGACAGTGTTATCAATATAGGACCGTATTTTGAGCCTAGAAAAACAATATGACCACAATATGACTCAAGTTTCTTCACAGAAGGCTGGACATTAAGCCTTGTTAAATCACAGTACTTCCCTATAACAAACACTATTTTTTTTTAAAAGATTTATTTATTTGTACATACAGAACTGGGGTACAGGTCAGAGGCTCAGGGGCGGTGAAAGGCTTCACCAGAGACATAGTGGGGAGCAGAACAGGCCGAATGACGAAGTACACTGCTGAGGGGAGCAGCAGGCGGGTCAGGAGAGGTCTGCCACGCCATGTGGGCTCCTCCCGGGCAGGCGGGGATCGAACTCATGCGGAAGTGGCTTTAGCTTCTTAGTGCTGTGCTTTAACCCGCTGTGCCACCAGGGAGGGCCTATTTTTTTTTTTTTTTTTTTTAAAGTAAATTCCTAGAGCAGCCTCATGGCTTTTGGAAAAAAAAAAAAACAGTCAAGTTCTGAGTGATAGTTTTCTTTGTCAACTTCCTGAATATAAGGCCCTCTTAAAAAAAAACCCTGAAGTAAAACTAAAGTGAATATAAAAATACAGTCTATTACAGGGGACTCCCTATAACGAACTATGAAACTATCAGCACCCACTGCAGTGGAGCTAACCCACATGGCACAGCAGACCTCTCCTGTCTCACCTGCTGCTCCCCTCAGCTGTGTACTTCAGTCACTCCAACTATTTTGCTCCTCACTGTGTCTCTGATGAATCCTCTCACCTCCCGTCATACCCACCTCTGGCCTACACCCCAGCTCTTCTATGCATAAATAAATCTTTAGAAAAAAATAAAAGATAATCTATTATGGAAACAAATTCCCTTGTTCTAGACATATTAATGTGGCCTAAGACTTATTAACCAGCTATTAATATCTTCACAGTCACATCACCAACCTATCAGGTAAATTCAAAAAAACTACCTCTAGTTTAGTTCTTCCCAGATCTGCAAAACTTTATTTTGGTTTCATTTTGTTCCACCTTGAGCTGTTACCTAAATCACATTTTCTACTATACGTACAAAGACCTACAGAGTAATGCAGTGAACTATTAACTCAAATGGGCAAAACATAGATTATCACCTACAGGCATTGTTTTAGTCAATGAAAACAAAAGATTAACCCAATTCCTACACTCAAGGACTCAAAAGTATAGCACAATTACAATGTAAGTGTCAAATAGAAGGGAGCATGAAGTATTCCGACTGGGATGTTACAGAAAGAATCCACTGAAACTATCATACAATGCACATTTTTCAGTTTCTTCCAAAGAGAGAGCATAAGATTTGTCACATGCACATAACTAATAATATAATTAAAATAACAGTGGCTTTACTGTTGTAAAACCTAAAGGCCAAAAATCACATCATGAAACCAAGCCATAAAAAGGTTTAGAAGACCCTACAGATTAAGTCAGACATTTGAAGCTATTTTCTAACTTCCAGTCTAATCACCTCTTTTCCCTGGAGTAGTAAATTTTTTAAAAACCAAATATGAGGGCCCTCCTGGTGGGGTAACAGGTTAAAGCGCAGCACTATTAATCTATCCGCCGCTGCAATGGCTACCGTTAAGTCTGATTCTGAGCCAAGGAGTTGACCAGCATGTCAATGTGGACCTGTCCTGTCCACTGCTTCCCTCAGTAGTGTGTTTCAGTCAATTCGCCTGCTATTCCCTACTCTATCTCTGAATACTTTCACCACCACACCCCTCCCCCCACACACACCCCAGTTTTGTATGCATCTTTTTAAAAAATCAGATATGAATATGATGTGCTCAACCATATTGTTTTCATATCTACATACACTCACCATCCATAAACAGATTTTTTTCTGTTAACTCTAACTCCTGAAAAAGCTTAAAAATTTTTCTCCTAATAAGTAATGTTATTTATAAACAAAAGGTTTCAACCTCTGATTTCCTTAATTGTAAAAAAGGTTAATCAATGTACAAAATGATGTAAAAATAAACTGTTATAAAATTTAAAAAGGTTAATCATAAATCTGTTTTGTGCCATCATTAATTCACATTTAGCTTTTTGACCCTACCGTTCTTCCTATAGTAATAAAGAAATCAACACACCTGAGATGCTATCTTATAATTATGTTGCATCCTAAAGAAGATAGCTGTCATCTCTTTGACAGCACTCAAAATGCAGAACTGAGTCTCTAACACGTATCTGCTACCTTACTTAAAAATTAAAAAGCTCATCTGGAGCACCGAAAGCCCTTAAAGAACAGCTGAAATGTATTACAGTTAATTCGTACCCCCTTACAACTTCATGACAAAAACCTGGCACAATCCATTTAGCCTATTACTACTAGCTATGTCCCCCTGAAATGTGGTTACTGAAATATATAAAAACAAAAATATTTTCTACTATGGAAAAAATCTATTATTTTCTAAAAATGGAAACTAAAACTATACCCATCTCCTTTATTTTATGACACTATAATCAATCACAGAACGTACAAAGTCAGGCGGGGGAGGGGGTGGGGAGGAATGCCTGAGCATCTAAACAAAATATAAGTCAAATTTTATATATTTACTAAAAAAAAAAAAATCCTCTCCAATAAAGAGCAATTAATGCCCTCTAAGAAAAGAAATGGGGAGAGTCCTGAGATATTTTCTCTTGGCAAACACTAGTCCAGAATGTTGCAGGGGATTCCTGGGCCGGCTGGTTCCAAGTTGATTCACAAATGGGATAGAATTCCCCATTTTTGAGGTGTGAAAAATAAAACAATTCTGCTCTTCCATTAACCCACCTGCTTTCAGTCCCATACTAATGCCTCGTAGATACATAGGCAAAAAAAAAAGTTCGTCTTTCCCTTTCTGGGCAATGATTTCAGGACCTCCTCGTTAACAAAAGGCACGGAAAACGTGCACAGGTGGGCTAGAAAGGGGAGTGGCTGAAGTCAGACGGCTCTCGGGACAGCGCCCCCACGCCCTCTGTCCCTGCGCGGCACCTGAGAAATCACTGCGCCCCACACCTCCACCCTTCTGCCAAGACGCTGCGAGCGAATTCTTCGACCTATTACACTTCACCCGCACCTTGGCGAGACAGAGGGTATTGTCTGGAGTCTCCCGTGCCCAGGAAAGGCAAGGAGGAAAAATGAAAGGAGGAGAGAGAATAAAGAACAAGGGAAGAGGAAGTAAAGCAACCGGGAACCCGCACGCTCCGCTGGGCAAAACTGGCTTCTCCATCGATCACTCAACTTAATTCAGATCCCAAAAGCCCATACCCCCGGCCCAAAGGCAGCAGCCTGGACGAGCCGGCCGGAGTGCCCGGCGCTTCGCCGACACGGAGCGCGGAGGCAGGGAGAGGGAAATGGGCGTGTAGGCTGGGCCTGGCTGGCCGGAGGCCGGCCTCGGAACAAAGCCGCCCGGCTCCCCCTACCTGGGGCGAGCGCGGCGGGCGGCTGGCGGCGTCCCAAGGCTCCCCGCACCGCCACGGCCCGGCGCCGCCCTGGCCCCGGGGACTGCCCCCCGGCTGGGGGCACTCACGGCCCCCACACCGCCTGCGAGCGTCGCCCCTTCGGGACAATGGGCCCCCTCCCCCGCCTCCAAGCGAGGAGATACAAGGTAGAGAAGCGCAGCCCGCACCGAGCCCGGCGCCCGGAAAGTGAAGGCTGAGGCGGTCGAGGAGACGCGAGAGGATGGCGGCGGCCGCGGGCGCCCAGGGGCCACTCCCCGGACCGTCCAGGGCGCTCCCTTCAGCCCCACCACCGCCGGAGGCGGGAGTGCAGAGCCGCCGCCTCCCCGCCCCAGCCGCGGGAAGCGGGGTCTGCACACAAAGAGAAGCAGGATCCCCACCCTTCGCCAGTGCCAGGGGCCGGACTGCCCGACGCGCTCCGGCCGCCCGACGGGCGCTCGGGCCCGCCCAGCCCGCACCCCGCCCGCCCGAGCGAGACGCCCCTCTCCCCGACTTACCCACAGCTCTGTGCCCCAGCTCATGGCGGAACTTGAGGCCAGCCGGCCGTCTAGCAGTCCCCGTGCCCGTCTGTCGGCTCTGCCGTCAGTCTGTCCGACCTCCTCTGGCGAGTGGCTGACTCGCGGCTCCGCAGCTCTGCTCCGAAGGTACCGCCACCGCGGGGCTCCCCAGTGAGTGAGAAAGACGCGACTGAGAAGCTGCCGCCGCCGCCGCGTCCCCGCCTCCCGGAGCCGGCTGGGAGGGGGCTAGGGAGGAGGGGCACAGACAGGGGAGGGGGCGGGCGCGGTGCACCCTGGGATCGGGGCGGACCCGCTCCCGCCTGGCCACGGGCCGCAGGGTCCACTTGTGCAAAGGTACCTCTCCTGCTGGCTCTCTTCCCGCCGGTGCGTCCCTGCTCGGACTGTCCACGGCCGCCGCCGCTCGAAATTCTATCTCCAATATGATAAAGGAGAGAGAAGACGCCTACCTCCCCTCTTTGCCCTAAGCCCCCTTAGACGAGGCAGCTCCAGTCCCCCGCCCTTCCTGCTGCTTACCTTCTCCGCTTGGGAGAAACCTCACCCAAATCCTTGGGTTTCTATTGTGAAAAATTGTTAGAAAAAGGTGTGGCTGTCTTAAGGTGAATATCTTGGAAATCTCCAAATATGTCGAGATGAAACGTCAAATATGAATGCGATATGCCTCCAATTCTGTTGCTAATAACATTTTGATTGTATAAGCTCTGTCAGGAAATCATAGAAAGAGCCAAGTCTTTCAGCATTCCTTTTGGAAGACAAATGTAAGCTGAACTGCCACCTGTAGAAGAGAACCCCATTTCTGGAATGTGTTCCTGGAGGGGGTGGGGGGAAGGGGAATGGAAGCCAGCCTCCTTGGTAATGCAAGAGCCTAATCAGCGATCTCTCGGTTTCTGAAGCCCAGGGGCAGGGCCACCATTTCCTTTTTCCTCTGTGGAGTCAATTTCCCTGGCCTTTCTGAGCAATCATTAACTGAACAGCAAACTTGGCTGGTGCTACTAGGTATCAAGCACGCATAGAGTGTCCCTAACATATGCTTTGTTTTAGCATTACTTGCCACACACACACACACACACACAATCCAGTCACAGTATTTCTCAATGTGTCCTTAAAGCTGAATGTCTTAAGGTCTCGCTAAGGCTTGTCAGCATTTGAAACTCCTCCCCTTTAGAACCTGCTCCTTTGCCCCAACCTCTTCCGCTTCACTCCACGTCCCTGAGTACTCTGACTCCCTTGGGGTTGAAGCAAATACCTGAGCCCTCAACAGACCAGTCACCAGTCTTGTTGAATTCTCTGCCGCTTTTCTCGAACCCCAGCTTGAGCATACAAAATACCCTCCTCCAAGTGGGTTATGACCAAGGTTTAAATGCTTAAGTGTCCCACTGAAAAAAACACTACATGACATAAATATGCTTCTTCCAAAGTTTCTGGACAGTATTCCGACCTAAAACACCACTCATTTCTTTTCAAAATATTAGGTGTTTGGCATCAAACTTAATATTCAAATTCTGAAAAAATTGTTTTCTATAATACTATAAACTTAAATATAATTCACATGACTAGTTTAACTCTCCATTAAATAATTTTTGTAGTTTACAAAATTCATCCACAATGTTAAAATTCACTAACAAAGTCTAAGTAAAAATGATTAAAAAGTGAAAACTGGCCCTCCCTGGTGGCGCAGCGGGTTAAAGCACAGCACTAAGAAGCTTAAGCCACTTCCCAATAAGTTCGATCCCACCTGCTCCGGAGGTGACCACATGGCGTGGCAGACCTCTCCTGACCCGCCCACTGCTCCCCTCAGCAGTGTACTTCGTCCATCTGCCTGTTCTGCTCCCCACTCTATCTCTGGTGAATCCTCTCACCCTCCTCATCTCTGGCCTGTACCCCAGTTCTGTACGAATAAATAAATCTTAAAAAAAAAAGTGAAAACTACCACAACAAACTTACTAATATTTTGTTACAAAACAATAAGGATTAATTAGGTTTTGAATTATTATTCTTACAACAAATCTCTGAAATAATATAGGGGCATTTAGGAATTTTTAAAAAAAGATTTATTTCTACATAGAACAACTAGGGTGTAGACCATAAGGGATAGGGTGTATGAAAGGATTCACCAGAGATAGAGTAGGGAGAACAGGCAGATTGACTGAAACACACTCCTGAGGAGAGCAGGGGATGAAATGGCAGATTGACTGAAACACACTGATGAGGGGAGCAGCGGATGAAACAGGTCTGCTGCCATGTGGGTTAACATCCCTGGCCAGGGATCAAACACAGGCTGTCAGGGTAGTAGCTGAGACTTAACTCCTAAGTCCACCAGGGAGGCCCCCAGAGATGTTTTATACTCATGTAGTCAATGTACACAAACATATATTATCAGCATGACAACTTATAAGGCTGTTGATTGTTTACATAATGAGAAACTTTGGGGATTATTTTTACGTATAACATTTATTCTTAAAGGCATTAATTTTAACGAAGGCAATAAATATCCAACTTGACTTTTGCCTGGAGAACCTGGCCCTATAACTGTAACCTAGATCATCTCTAATACAGAGCATTGTAGAAAGAATTAGTTGAAATAGCTTTCAACAAGTCAATATTTTCTGGAAGTTTGTCAGATTTAGAAAATAAAAATGCAGGACTCCCAGTTACATTTGAAATCAAGATATTGCAAATGTTACGGTAGACATAAAAAAATTAGTCTATCAAAAATTTGAATTTAACGAGGCATCCTACATTTTATCTGACAACACTCAGGATGATCCTGTATCAGGAACTGCTCAATCAGCTGAATTTAGACCAATGGTTTGAGGGAGTTGGTGAATACCTGAAGCTGTATGTAAAAGATTTTAAACCGCTGTGTCTGTGGTTTTCTTCTGGGAAACAGAAGCACAGCTTTTACTAATGGTTTTTAATGAAGAGTTCACTTCAAGATCTCTTGGAAGGTTTTTCAATATCTCTGCCTGAGAAGGTTCAGAGCAGTAAGTAGGGGTTTCCATCACTTTTGTTTAATAGAAAAACTGTATATTTTCATAGAATATGTCTTATGGACTCACAAGAAACTGGAAGTAGTAGTTATCTCTGGAGAAAAGTAGGACATTAGAGTGAGAAAACTTTCTTTCACTGTTACTTTTTTGCACCATTTAATTTTATTGTCCATGTTTTATCTGTTTAAGAAGTTCAAAATTACAAAAATAACAATAGTGCTTAGGCCTTATTATAGGCTTATTAAGTCAGAATTACTAAATTTCCAGCGATTGGGCCATACTGTTAGTTTTAAACTCCACAATGTACTTTGTACTTTGATTCTATATTGAAATCTCACACAGACACAATGAGACTTACCCCAAAGACCCCACAGATACAGCCACACACACACAAATACACATACTATCCAAAATGAAGTTAGTCTGGAGAGGTTGTTTAAAATAGGTAGGGAATGAGTCAGAGCAGTTCATACGCAGATGTGATAAGATAGGAAACTGCTCAGCATTTCACCTGATGGCTTAGGAAATTCAGCAGAACCCTACTTAATGTTTTTGTCCACTCTTGTATACACGGATAGTTGAGTGGTTGCCTATATTTCTATTAAGTAACCTGCCTTTTGCACATTTCTTGTGGGTGGAGCCAGGTGTGGCAAGGACCTGCTACTCCTGAAACTCTTCCCCTTTATTTCACATCATAGAAATTTGCCCAGTCTGGTTCAAGGAGACAGCCCCACCTGTTCACAATCTATCTCATCCTACCCACTACCCTGCAAGTAACATTCGTTGTTCCAGAAATAAGCATCAGGTTGAAATCTGCAAACAACACACATGCCCCCAGCTGCAGGTGCTAAAGTACTGCTGCCTGAGTCCTTCACTTGAAGTCAGCCTGAAGAAATAGCATTTCATCTTCACCCATGCTCCTCTTTATGCTGGCAAAGCTGGCAGCAAAGAATTTCCTCACAGGTGAACAATCTGAGAAAAAAAATTTTTTTCCCATTTATCTTGGTGTTCTTTTTGTGGTTCATTGGGTCCAAAGAAAAGGAATGCCACAAATAATATGACTGTACCAAAATTTATCAATGTATTTCATTCTCAAAAACCACTGAGTTTTAAACTGGTGTACTAGAAAATAGTGCCTGGTATTCTCAGTGCTGGGTGTTCCTAGTATCCCTTCTTGAGCCTCTAGTTTGACCATTTGGGCATAATTTGCATTTCATTTATCCTCCAGAGGAGACTGATCAATCCAAAATTTCGCTTGATAATCCTAAATAGTTTGTTAGTTAGATGATCCAGGATGGTCACTCTAGGATCTGTAAGTTGCATTTTTAATAAAAAGTATCATTATGGCCCTCCCTGGTGGCGCAGCAGGTTAAAGCACTGCACTGAGAATCTAAAGCCGCTTCTACATGAGTTCGATTCCCGCCTGCCCCGGAGGTGACCACATGGCGAGGCAGACCTCTCCTGACCCGCCCGCTGCTCCCCTCAGCAGTGTACTTCGTCGATCTGCCTGTTCTGCTCCCTGCTCTGTCTCTGGTGAATCCTCTCACCCTCCGCATCTCTGGCCTGTACCCCAGTTCTTTACGAATAAATAAATAAATCTTTAAAAAAAAAAAGTATCATTACATAACTGTGAATTCTGTATTTTCTCTTGAAATTACAAAAATTGCAGATAATTCAAATAGTGTTTTCATTTGATTGTCCCCTTTTAAGGACAGGACTACTCCTGACATGGAATAGGCACTCAATTAATATTCTATAATTAAACATTAAAAGTTGTAAAATAATAAATGAAGGTTAACTTTACATATAACTTTAAAATTGACTATATATAGTCAATTCATATATATACACGAATATATATAATATATATGGATTATATATTATATAAGAATATACATTATTAATTGTATATGAAGATATATGAATATGTAATGTATATATGTATTTTTCAAATTTCTGGGACTGATTTTTGGATTCTTTTACCCTAAGTATGTATTATCCCATTCTTATTTGCTTTTGAATTAACTAAAGTCAAATAGATTAAAAAGAAATATCAAAATAAAACTATGAACTATTCTAAATTTTACTCTTTGGGGAAAGAAAAGTATTGGTAAGAGCTGTATTATTTTAGAGTTGTAAAATGTACCAGAAATTGTAGATTTTTAAGTGAATGAATCTCTCAAGCTTGAAAGAC